GTAAGCCAGAAGTGAGAGTTTAGGGCCTTCTCAGCTATTTCCTAAGTATGTGCACAGCCTTGGGCATGCCCATTGCCTTCTGGATCCCAAGGAATATGTCACAGCTTTTCAGACCTCCCTACAGACAGATACTTCCCCAGATTTTCCTTTTAAACTTTTTGGTCGACCTATTATCTACCCCCAACTGCTATCAGCCAGTTTAGCCATCATGATTTTCAACAACTGCCTCTGATTGTTTTCAACAAATGCCTGAGAAGAAGCTGTTCACACTAAATTAGCTCCAAGTCAGGTCAAATAAAGACAACCTTGCAAGTGAGATCTTCTAGCGAAGCACCGGCTGGATCAAATAATGACCGTTCTTTGGGGCTGGGCTTTGAAGAAGCTCCAGCCCTGCTCTGCCCCCTTCAGAGATGCCAGGCTGCTAGTGGTCACCATGCTTGTGGGCTGTTGGGTTAAGACTACCATGGAATTGGAGGTGAGCAGAAGCAGGAATAGGGCCAGTTAAAATGTCCACATTTCACTGTTCTTACTGACACTTATCTGTTCATCTGCAAACTTTTGATTGGTTAATTTTCAGAGTTCTGAAAAAGTTTATTCTGATAAATGTTGCCAGTGTTCGCATTGGTTTTATGGAGGAGGGGTTGGGAGGGGGCTCCTTTTCTACCCTTTTTTTTCCTGATGTCACACTGAAAATTCCAGACTTTAATGAACCTCAGGTCTAGTTGCACACAGTTGGGTAGTAAAAGCTGCAATGAGACACAGCACTTTGTCATTAAATTTGTTTATTGTCCTCTCCTTCGCTCATTGTGAAACCTACAACCTGTAGCCAGAATCTTACCTGAAAGATCCTCTAGAGCCCGGGTCTTCCAGTGTGGAATGGCCTATCATCCAGCAGCTTGTGCTCGGGGGTACGTGACAGCTATTCCTGAGTTGAGGGCATGGCACTGGGTGGTGGTTTGGCCATAATTTGCTGTTTTTTGCATTTGTCATCTTTTTGTCATTTTGTGGCATCGGTGGTTTGACACACAACTCACTGTTGGAGGGCAACAGACGAGCACATCGTGGAGCTTTGCTTCTTGGCTCCCGTGTCCTAGGCACTTATGTATCTTAGTTTTTTGTTTACCATTTGGGGCTTCTAAAAGCAGGAAACATTCACATCCAAAGGGCATTTGAATTTGTTCTTTCAGTCTTCCACATATGAAGATGCAGAAGACATTCAGTTACTAAGTCAGGTCTCACATGTGGTCATAGTCTTTGGCTGTCACTCCGGTTTCCTCGTGTCCCAGTGAAACGGCCCCAACAGCATAAGGTGGTGAGATGGAACCTGGAAGGCAGATCGTGGCTAGCGAGGACACACAGACTCAAGCTGCTGCCACTGCTTTTCCCATCTGTCCCTCCCCTGAATGTCTTCTCATGAGAATTTTAGGAGAGAGTTAGCCATTTTGCACATGTTAGTATGTAATCCAAACATAACGTGCATTAATATTATTACCTCATGTCTGTAACTCATTTGAAAGATGAGCCTTATTCTTTAGAGCACCTTACTTATTAGTGTCTGTAAGGAACCCAGAAAAGAACACAGACTCTCAGGAGTTTTTTGTCCGGGCAGGGGGTTCACTGTTGTACAAGTGGTTACGTCATTTTTGCATGGAGGCAAATGTTAATCCTCTTCCCATCCTTTCGGTTTTAATAAATGAGTTGTGTGGGCTAGGCTTTAACTTCTGACTTCTTTCAAGCTTGAGAGGTTGGGCCATCTGTGGGAAGAGTCTGGGCAGTGAGCCCTACATTTGGGTTCTCACTGTGCCCTCAAATTATTTTTCATTTCCTTGACATCTTTCTCATTCAAGACGGCAAGTGAACCTTTGTGCTGTGTAAGTTGTAGTATTCAGTGACAGGGTATTATGAGTTCTTTGTGCACATAATTCCATGTTATGAAAACCTTTCACCAACTTCTTAAATTGGCTGGTTTGAAGTGCACATTGTGTTATGGCATAATCTGTATTATTAAGAATATGAACTTGGGGAATTAGCATTAGATCTTTGAGAAAGAATTGGGAATTCAAAGAGAATGACTTGCCTTCATTCTTCAGTCTTGATTTAGGGCACATTATTTAACATGTCACTTCTTCTAAGTGTTTGACTTCTGTTTCTTCATGGGACTAGCTGAGATGATTTCAAAACTTTTAACTGTATCTGGGGGCGAAATTACCAAGAGATTCCTTAAAGATAATAATGCTTTCTTCAGTTGTTGCTATTTTTCAGTGACCAATCATAATATATGGTTTATGATAAACCATATATATTGTTGATAGCAAATCATGTGCTGGCCAGATCCTGCGCAGAGAGGATCACAGAGACTCAGTCTCTGCCTCCAAGAACTTGACACCAAAGACTGAAAATACTTACATGTGTAAAGATTTGGAAGATATACTGACAATCGGATATTCCAACGTTGTCCGTGTGTGTCTCTTTCACGGCTTCACCCACATAAATTCTAAATTTACTCCATGAACCAGGACACAAAATCACACTAAGGAACATACATGTCCTGGAATTCAAGAATTTGAGGGCTCTCTTCTTGTCCCTTAAAAGCTCCTGGTTTGATCATTTCCATTCAGTTCATTCAGCGTCATTTAAGTGCAGTTTCTCTGTGCCATGCCCTTTGCCACACCCTCGTATTAGTTACTTATGCTGTTTAACGAACTACACAGAACTTAGTGGCCTAAAGCGACAGCTTAGAGGCTTGGCTGGGTGGTGTGGGCTTGGCGACTCACGAGGTGGCAGTCATCTGAGGGCCGGACCGGGGCTGGAGGGCCTGCTCTGAGACGGCTTGCTTTGCTGGCGAGTGGTACTAAGGGTTAACAGGAAGCCCTTTTCGTGCTGTGAGACCTGCTTGCCTGTCCTTACGACATGGTGATGGCCTCTTCCCAGAGCGGGTGGCCCGAGAAAGTCGGGTAGAAGACACAATGACTCTGACCTAGCCCCGGCAGTTACACCCTGCCCAGTGCCCTTGGTTCAGAGGTCAGCCCTATGCAATGTAGAAGCGTCTGCACCGGGGTGCGAATACCAGGAGGCAAGCATCCCTGCAGGCCATCCTGCGGGCTGGTTATTACAGCCCTGGAGATGGAAAGATGAACTGAGGTGAACACATTTCCACGGGAAACGCATCAGTGAAAGAAAGAAAGCAGCTGATTAGAACAGAGCCTTCAACAAGCAGCTTGCTGCTTGGTTCACTGCTGTGGCGTGCTGGCCACCCCACAGGCCAGGTCCCACCGCCCCCTCCAGCCTCTCCCTGATGGACCCTTGACCGTGGAGTGCCCATCGCATGTATGGCTGACCATCACTTACTGAGCTCGGATCAGTAGGGGACAAGTAAGCATTTGGGCTGCTATCACTGAGCGGTTTGGCTTCAACCCCCTTCAGTTCTCTGACTTCAGCCCCCATGTTAAGGATCCTGGAGGCCCCGTCCGTTCTCAGAGACGCTCTGGGTTAGTCCAGGGAATGCAGTTCCCATTGGAATCGCTCTTCCATGCCTGTGAGGCAGCTTTCTCTGCAGCTACTGCTTACCTTCTCTTGTGGGTTGAATTTTATCCCCCCACCCCACCCCATCCCCGCCGCCATCGATGCCTTGAAGGCCAAACCTCTGGTACCTGTGAATGTGACCTTAGTTAGAAAGACGGTCTTTACAGATGTGATTAGTTAAGATGAGGTCACACTGGACTACCATGGGCCCCTTATAAGAGGAGACCTAGAGATGCCCAGAGCACGCACAGGGGAGAGCACCCCATGAAGACGGTGTCCCAAGGGAAGCTGCCACGTGATGACGGAGAGCCAGGTGAGGGGTCTCCAAGCCGAGGACACCAAGGAGCGCCGGGACCTGCAGGAGCTGGAGAGGCAGAAAGGAGCCCCCGGAGCCTTCTGGGGATGCCACCATGGACTTCGGCCTGCACAGCTGTGAGACCGCATCTCCCTGTCATCTGAAGCCACCCGCTGGTGGCACTTTGTTATGTCAGCCTCCGCACGTGAATGAACCTCCAGGGACGTGGCATCTAATGGTGTTACTGCTGGTTAAGGACAGGTGAAAACGGTTTAGAGGAGGAGGTAAGAGAACTGGAGCAAACCCTGTTGCTTGAGGTAGGGGTGTGCAAAGAAGCCAGTCTCTGCCCTTTGAAAGAGTGAAAAGCAGTGCGAGACAAGGCATGATGGTAATAATACGATAGGGACACAGCACGAACTGCGTGCCAGGCGCCGTGTCGGGAGCTCTGCCTGCGTCCCGTCCCGTCCCGACCTCACCCCAACCGAGAGGGTGCTGGTCGCAGGGCTTCCACTGAGCGTGCTCATGGGGGCTGCCTGGGCACCAGGACCCCGGGACACAGCCCCTCGCTCTGCCTGAGCCCTGAGCCCAGGAGCCATGGACCCCAAACGTCAGTCCCAACGGGAGAGGCGCCTGCAATGGAGGGCCCCCACGGGAAGGCTTCCCCGGGTGGGGGGGGGAAGGGGCCCAGAACGTTCCCACAGCTGGAAGCACGGGAATAGGGGCCGCTGCCCAAGAGTAACCCTGGAGGCCCAGGTTCTTCTGTTGGGTCGAGTCTAGAGAAGACAGGGGGACAGTGGAAGGCCCTCCTTAATACAGAGACGCTCAGCCAGTGGAATGTGGCTATCAGCCAAGAGGCATTCTCCTTCTCTTCAGCCTTGGGACAGCTCACCCTAATGTTGAGGAACCGTTTCTGGGGAGCTGGAGTGGGGGGCCCCCGTTCATGGGCAGCAAAGGGGCTTTTCTGGAGAAGAGACGAGGACGCTGCCTGCACTGTCCCCGCGGGCAGCCCTCAGCTGTCCTCTGCGTGGCCCACGTGGAGCCTCACGTGTCTGTGGGGCCTTGGAGCCCTCGGCAGTGGCCCGGTCGGGGGGCGGTGGTGGAGGAGAGGCCACGGGCAGCAGGGGCAGGGCGCCACCTGCCTCGGGCGGGAGGCCTGACTTCCGTAACGGAAACTGTTTTCCAGTCTATGTGCAGGTGTTCTCTGCCTTGATCGTGATCATTGCCGGGGCCTTCATCATCACTATCATTTACAGGTCAGTCGCTCCTCCACTGAACGCACCTGCAGAAGGTGTGGGACGCAGGGTGGCGAGGAGCGGGTGGGGCTGTCGCGGCCAGAGGGGCCCAGCGGCTCCCTCGAGCTCCTGATGACGCCCCCAGCAGTTAAGGAGCTCCGACATGGTCCGCGTCCTGCTCGCCCCTGTCCGCCCACGAGCGGGGCCTGGGGCTCCCCGCCCGGTGTGTCTGCAGGGCGCTCTGGGCTGTGAGCCACGGTGTAGACGTGCTCCAGACACGAATCTCCCCTCTCATTTTGGTGATGAGGACACAAGGCCACAGCAGCTGGTGGCTGCCCACGGTCAGAGCCTGGATTCATCATTGCCACCCGGGGCCGAGTGACCCCACCTCAAACCCCCTTACGACACAGGAGCCACGGAGACTAGCACGTCACTTTGTCCAGAAGCAAAGAAAACCCCTCCCCTGCTCTGAGCGGTGCCAGGTGATATCTTGAGTGACCTGCTTGCACACTCACCTTGTCCCTGTCTGTTCTCGCCCTTGGGCATCTGGACGCCACGCACGACCATGTGTGTGGTGCACGCATCAGAAGCTGAAGTGGGCATGGCTACGGCAAAGCATGTGTGCCCCTGTTTTAGGGAGATGTCCGGGTGAAGGACTGGACAACCCATTGAGTTGTCCGCCTTCAATTTCTCTGTTGCCATCAGAGTCGTTCAAGAGAACAGGAGAGAAAAGGAAGCGCCCACAGGCATACCTCTGTTTCCCAAGTCCAGCAAGACAGCGGAGGCAGCCCCATCAGGCGAGCAGGCGGCCTCCCAGCCCGCGAGTATGGAGCCCTTGGGCAAGAGTGAGATCATCAGGGAGGAGGACGGTAAGACGGCAGGTCGTCCAGGCACAGGGCACAGCTTGGCTCCCGCAGAAACCCCGTCCGGGACAGGCCCGCCCCGTGGCGGGCAGGGCAGGGAGGCGTGCGGGCGGCCGCGGGGCTGGGCGAGTCAGCACCCGCAGACCGAATCGGGTGCTTCCTGGCGGGGGTGCGGGAACGCGTGGCCCAAGGGGTGGGAGCAGCCCCTCAGGACCCGGCACCTCTGCTTTTGTGTATTTATTAACCGTCTCCGGAGGGGAGGGCTTTGGCGGTTGCTTGTTGCTCTTCATAGGTGAGCACCTGGCCAGGTTAGAGATGGAAGCACCCTAAACCCTCAGCTCTACCTCAGGCTGTGTGGACACGTGCTCTCTGGGCCTCTTGTTCCCCATTAGTTGCGAAGACTCGGTTTCACTGGAGCAACCGGGCAGAGAAAAGGCCTACCCAGACATCTTGTAGGGTCTGGACGGCTGCCCCTGCCGAGCTGTCTGAGCCACGGTACTTTCCCGCAGGGCAGGACGTGCACCCCCTTCTCGGGGGCTTCTGCAGAGCGAGGCCACGAGAAGTGGAGACACTTCTCCTTTGGTGACAGGGAGCCAGGACAGACAGACTGTTGACCAGACTTGTCTTTGACTAGATCATGGCCACGTACATGTGTTCGCAGACCTGATGACATGTCCTTGGGACTGCTGAACATTCATGCAGAAAACCCGCTCTTTGTTTGATCTTCAATCCAGCTTCCTTGACAATAATGGAAGAGGAAGAGACTGAGGACTGAGGGCACGACGAAGCCGAAGTGAAGATCGGCAGAGACGCCCACCTGGAAGGGCCCAGCCGGTGAGCCGCCGTGAAGTGTGTGTTGCAAAGAGCACAATGAGAAAACAGTAAAGGTATTTTCAGTGCTTCCTGTCGTAGTCATTGCGGCCTTTCCATCTTCGGGCAGACCCAGCCCCGGGGGAGCGAGGACGCTAACTGGGAGCTCTCGGCGGCCAGCTGCGCCGCTTGTGACCGCTGCTGGGGCCCTGCGAAGCCACCGCGCCACTTCTCAGAACACAGGCTGCACCTGCATGGGGTGGGCTTGTCGCTCCGACTCGCGGGGCGCTGGGGACCTGCCCAGCAGTGAGCTGTGCGAGGAGAGGCCCGGCATCCGCCTCTGGGAGGCCCAGGCCACCCGCTGCAGCTTCCTCATGGCCCCTCTTCCAGGGCGGAACACACCTAGGTTCCAGAGTGACGGGCAAGCACTAACTGGGGGGGATGCAGCCCAGGGAGCCCCTTGGTCTTGGAGAATCTCTGCCTTCCACCTTGAAAACTTGTGTTCCCCGGAGCAGCTGTGGCTCAGGCATCCACACGTTGCAGGCTTAATACATACATATGTGGGTGTGCGTGTGTGTACATACATCGGTGTGCATGCATGCAGATATATGGGTGTTCACTTGTGTACATATACATGCACACACACATATGTGCACAGGTACATGCATGCGTGTGCCTGCGCACGTGCATGTGTATGCGCGCGTGTTTATTACGGGTGCGCACGCGTGCACATGCCTGTGTACACACGCTCGTTCACTGTGGGTGCGTGCGTGTGCACATATATTTGTATGTATGCACGCACATGGATGTGCGTGCATGCATGTACACACACGTGTAAGTATGCACACATGTGCATGTGCACATATATGTACGCATGTACGTGTGTGTGTATGTGTGTACATATAAACAATCCAGTGGAACAGACATACTCTGCTTAAAGGGGTGACCGCTCAACACTGACGGTCAGGGCAGCAGGTCAAGCCCGGCAGGCAAGTGGGCAGGGCCCGGCTCCGGGGGTCTCCAGGGCAGCTCCCCTGGTTTCCTGCTCTCGGGGCTTCCTTGTCAGGGCTGCCAGTGGGTTGAAGTTCATCGGTTCCCGTCAGCCTCAGAGTCATGGAGGGACCGGAAGGGAAGGATCGGTGCCCCGAGGAAGAGCGTGTTATGGCTTCCGTGGGCTGGAGCAAATCTGCACACCATGAACAGAAGGGGCCTGAGCCACATGGGCCATTTTGCATTGTTCTGAAAAGTAAAATAGATGAAATGAAGTAGTACGTTCTGTTTAACCCAATGTATCCAAAATGTTATCCTTCTATCTTCCACAGTCAGGATAGAAACACGAGGAACACGATGCTTCCCATGTCCTTTGATGAATCTCTGTGTGTTTTACACTTTGAGAGTGTCTCAGCCCAGACGGGCCCCGTTTTCAAGGCCTAATGTGGCCAGGGGCTGCGTGTTGGACGGTGCAGCTCTGGAGGCAGGAAAGGGGCTGGGGGACCCGAGGGCAGCCCACCCCCTTGCTCACAGTCCCAGGGCAGTCATGGGCACAGCAGGCAGCCGTGAGACTCGCTGCGTGGCGCTGGGTTGGCCCAGCCCCTTCTCTGTGGGGCACCCTCCTGCCCGGTGCGCCCTCCTACCCTTTGTGGAGCGGCCGGTTTAACCCTCACCTGGGTTGGGAAGGAGCATCAGCCAGTCGAACTGAGTAGAATAGACTCCATTTGTGGGACTCTATGGCTTCTTACGTTCTTACCTCCTCCTTACAAAATTCTATTACAGAAGACGTGAAAAATCCAGAAAAGAAGATAGAAATACGTTGCCCGTGTCCCCACGACCACGAATGACCACAGTTAGTACTTGATCACACACACTGTTCACTCCTTCTCTGACCCCACAGTATGGTGAGGCCAGCCTGTCCCTCAGGACAGTGGTAAACACTGGTCTTTGGTCCTGGTGATGGTTCATTTTAGGTATCAACCTGGCTCAGATATTTATGCGAGCATAATTCTGGGTGTGTCTGGGAAGATGTTTCTGGATGAGATTAACATGACGGCTCAACCTAGTGTCGGTGGGCCTCATCCAATCAGTCGAAGGCCTGAATAGAACAATAAGGCTGATCGTCCTGTGAGTAGGAGGGAATTCTTCGTGCCTGATCGCCTTTTCAACTGAGACACTGGCTTTTTCCTGCTTTTGATCCAAACTGAAGGATGGGTTCTCCTGGCCTTGAGCCTGCCAGACTTCAGACTGACACAGCCTTGGCTCTCCTCTCCTCCAGCTTGCTGGGGACCTGTCGGCCTCTGTGACTGCATGAGCCAGTTCTTTAGAACCAATCGATCTCCTGTTGGCTCTGTTTCTCTGGAGAACCCCGACAAATACCCCCAGTGTAATGAAGAAGTTGGCCTTAGCCCGAGGAGAGGTCTGGTCTTTGTCGCTGGTGCCTGGGAGGTGATCTCTGTCCCTTGGTGTTTCTCGAGGGCTAGACGTGTGTTTGTGATTCAGGGCGGGCCCCCAGACAGTTGATGCTAACAAGAGGACTCAGGGTGGAGTCGGCTGCACCAGAGACACTGACCATGGGACATTAGCCCACCCTCTGGGAGGGAAGAGGGCTGGAGATTGAGTTCAACCACATGGGCAACAATGCAGTCAATCCTGTCTATATAATGTAGCCCTGCTAAACACGGGACACTGGGCTGGGCTGAGTGCCCCTGGTCGCTGACCCTCCTGGATGTGGTGGGAGGGTGATGCATCCTGTGGGACCCTCCACCTCGTCCTATGCATCTCTCCCTTTGGCTGCTTCTGATTTGCACCCTTTTGTCATAATAAAACTTTAATCGTAAGCATAGTGCTTCGCTGCGTTCTGTGAGCTGTTCTAGCAACTTGTGGAACACAAGGGTGGTCGTGAAGGCCCCCGACTTTGGAGCCAACTGGTCTGAAGTTTGGGTGGCCTGGGGGCCACAGACTTGAGGCTGGCACCTGAGTGAAGGCAGTCTTGTGGAAACTGGCTAAACTCCCCCGGGCCCCCTTCCTCACGGCAGCGATCTGCCCCTGGGCCCCACGGCTGGCGGCCCGCACTGGGGGAGACAAGAACCCACGTTCTCTTTACCCGCCTCATCCTGTGAGGGCACAGCCCGGGAGTGCTCATCTTGGCCTTGTCGATGCCCAGAAGGAGGGAGAGATCCAGCCGGGTCATGTAGAAGGTGGGGGAGGCCCGTCTGACCTCGGGGGGCCAGGAGCGTCCTGCCTGAAATGTTGGCAGTGTTTTCTGCCCTCCACGCTGCATTTCCAAATGGTTTTGTGCTTCGCCGCCGAAGCCTGTTGCGCGGTCGCAATGGACACGCCACGAGACTGCCTCCGCGATCGGCCTATGGGACCTGACAGATTATGTAATAATCCTCACTGTCCTCCCTTGTCTGAGAGTAAAAACGCGGTATTCTGAAAGTCCGGCAGCGTACACTATAATCTGATTTTTTTTTTTTAAAGGTTTTTTTTTATTTATTTATTTGAGACAGAGAGAATGAGAGACAGAGAGCATGAGAGGGAGGAGGG